TGTACCATCACATCCCGCTAGACCATCATTTTTTTTTTTTTTTTTAAGGTACCGAGGATTGAACACAGGTCCTTGGCGCTTGCGCAGCAGGCAGCGAAACCACTGAGCTAAATCCCCGGCCCATGGCCCCATCATTCTTAACTGCCATCATTCTTGTTACCACTCCTGTCTCATAAGTCTTCAATTAACACTTGATTTAATGGAAACTCTGTGAAGCCTCACCTGCAAGAGGTCGTGACTTGACTTGGGTGAAGAATTCATGGGATAAAATAACTGACAGCTGTGTTGTCAATGCGCTACAAGCAGGCTACACAGACAAGAAGTGCTCATTTAAGGAGACCTCTATTGGTGGACAGGAGACTGGGGTCAATGGTTCTATAGGAAATGGAGGTGCAAGAAATTCAAGCTAGAATTCAGGGTTTGGAGTTATGATGACATTCCAGAAGATGACATGACTATTACCTGAATAGATATAAATTTTTGTACATGAATTAATGCAGACTGTTGTACATGAAAAAAATAAGATATCCCCTCAAAGTATGCCCTATTGCACCTTTGGAGCAAAAATTAATTTAAGACTTAGTCTTATTTTGGGGGACATACAGTAGCAGTTAGGCTGGGCTTGGCAGCACACACCTGTAGTCCCAGCACTTAGGAGGCGGTGACAGGGCAAGTTCAAGGCTAGCCTGGGCTACATAATGAGCTCCTGTCTCAAAGAAAAAAAAAAAAAAGGTTAGCAGTCAAAAGTAGAGAAAGGGGCCTGGGATGTAACTCAGTGGCACCACACCTGCTGCCTAGCAAGCACAAGGCCCTGAGTTTGAGTCCAGATAACGGATAGGGGGGGTAGAGAAAGGTAATCAAAAGGACATAGACACAGAAGAGAAAAATCTGACTTGGCCAACTCTCTCTCTCTCTTTTTTTTTTTTTTTTTTTGACAGTGCTAAGAGTCAGACCCAGGACTTTACTACTGAGCTACATCCCAGCTCTACTTGGCCACCACATAACAGAATAGACAAGGGCAAAGCATTTTATACAATCTGCTAGAGCACCAGATACCCATATGCAAAAAAAGTGGTGCATCCCTATAATCCTAACACTCTGGGAGGCTAAAGCAGGAAGATCACAACTTGGAGGCAAGCTTCTAAAACTTAGTGAGATCTCTCAAAAATAAAAATAAACCCTGGCATGATGGCACACACCTGTAATCTCAGCACCTGGGATGCTGGGGTAGGATTGCAGCAAGTTCAAGGCCAGCCTGAACTACATATTGAACCAAAACCCTGTCTCACAAAACAAAACAAACGGCCAGGGATTTAGCTCAGTGGCACCACACCTGCCTCGCAAGCACAAGGTCCTGAATTCAATCCCCAGTACCAAAAAAAAGAAAAAAAAATGTTCTAGGCCAGTTTGGGTGACTTACAGAGACTTTGCTTCAGAATAATCTAAATAATCTAAAATGGGGCCAGGGATTTAGCTCAGTGGTTCCGCCACCTGCCTCGCAAGCATAAACCCGGGTTCAATCCCCCGTACCAAAAATAAAAACAAACGCAAACAAAATAATCTAAAATGAGCTGGGGATGTAGCTCAGTATTAGAACACCTGCCTAGCATGCACAAGGCAAGATTTACAAATAAGCACATAAAGACTCCAATAACTAGGACCGGGGGTTTAGCTCTGTGGTTCTAGCGCCTGTCGCACAAGCACAAGGTCCTGAGTTCGATCCCCAGTACCAAAAAATAAATAAATATAAATAAAGATTCCAATAACTTTCATGATTAGGGAAATACAAATCAAAATGATCATGAGCACCAGGACATGCCTTTAATTCCAACTCTCAGGAGGCTGAGGCAGGAGGATCACTGAGTTCCAGACCAATTTAGGCTACACAGTGAGTTCAGGGCCACCCTGAACTATATAATAAGACCCTGTCTCAAAAAACCAAAACATTGTAATAGGTAAGGTTTGGAAACAGCCCAAGTGCCCATTAACTGGAAAGTGGATAAAGAAGATGCGGTTTTTTAATAAAATGGAGTACTACTCAGCTATGAAGAATGAGAAACTAGTCATTTATAGCTAAACGCATATTGAGGCCATACTCTTCAGTGAAATAAATAGGACACACATGTGTAAATACTGAATAGTGTCTCTAGTGTGAGAAACTGAAAGTGTAAATAAGGATGAAAATGATTAAAACAAATAATTGATAATTTGAAATAGGAAAAAGTCCAAAGGTGGAGGGGTGGCAGGAGGGGAAGGGGAAAGGGAAGAAAGGAAAGGAAAAATTACAAGAAAAAAAAATGGAAACAAAGTCTACGTAAATACGGAAGGGTGGTGGGGTGAAGGGCGCATAGGTAATGGGGAAAAAAATAAGAACTAAGATACATCATGTTCAGGTACAAACACCCAATGATAAATGTAAACGTATTGTATACCTAAAATGTACCAATTAATATATAAATAAAAATTTAAAAATAAATAAAAAACCAAAACAAAAATTAGTCTTTGAATCTATGCTTAATGATCCTTGAACGTGCCAATTACTAACGTGCCATTATGAACTTGCAGAGTTGAAATTTAGACTCTAGACTATGGAGCTCTATCAAGATAATGCCCTTCAAGGGGCCGGGGATTTAGCTCAGCGGTTCTGGCGCTTGCCTTGCAAGTGCAAGGTCCTGAGTTCGATCCCCGGCACAAAAAAAAAGGAAGATAATGCCCTTCAATCAGACACAATGCCAACCAGCTCTCCACATGGTATCCCTAATGCCAATCCAGTACATCACTACTCAGTATAAACATCAGTTTAGAGAATCTTCATTCCCTTGGAAAATCAAAGCTCAATATCAAAGTAGGGCTTGGGGTTGGACAGGTGCTGAAAAGTTCCCCCCATTAAAGTTCTGACATGAGTGGAAAAGGGAAGGCAAGATGACAAGTAGCCTGATAAAAGTGCCAATGACTGTGATACACTAATTCTTTTTCTCAAAAACACATACATGGAGGGGCCAGGGATTTATTTAGCTCAGTGGTGCCTCCGCTTAAACACAAGGTCCTGAGTTGGATCCCCGGTACCCCCCCCCCAAAAAACCCCACATACCTGGTCCTTGATGGATGTTTAAGACTTAAAGTACTTCTGATATTATTCAATATTTAACACTCTACTGTAAAACGCTTGACAGGGAATAACAACTCACATTAACTGCTCTTATTTGAGCTCCAGAATTAAGATTTCATGTTTCATTTTGTCTAGCTGGCTGTGAAATGACCTTTATTTTTTTAATTTTTGCTTTTGTCACAGACTGCTTTACAATTTAATCGGTCATCTTACTAAAAACTACAGGCAGGGCCGGGGATTTAGCTCAGTGGTTTCATCGCCTGCTGCACAAGCACAAGGACCCAAGTTCAATCCCCGGTACCATTAAAAAAAAAAACACGAAAAAAAACTACAGGCAGTTCTATTTCCTAAAATGCAAAAACAGGGGCATGGGGGGGGCAGAATAAAATAAAATATCAAAAATTTAAAAATAAAATAAAATGCAAAAACAACCGGGCATAGTGGCACAGGCCTATAATCCCAGAACTCAGGAGGCTGAGGCAGGAGGATCTCCGAGTCCACCGGCAGCCTGAACTACTTAGATCCTCTCTCCAAAAAAAAAAAGAAAGGCAAAAACAGGTCAGAAGCTGGGCATAGTGATACATAACCATAATCCCAGCACTCTGAGAGGCTGAAGCAGGAAGAATGCAAGCCTGCCTGGGGCCATCTAGCAACATCAGTCTCAAAGTATAAAGAAATTTTTAAAAAGGTTAGGGATTTCGATCCCCGGTACCAAAAAAAAAAAGAAAAATTGTAAGAGTAACTTACAATTCAGTGCCGTCTATAAATTACCAACAGCTAAGAGATGCAAAACTCTGAAAGCACCTATTTGCACATATTTGACCTTGTAAGAGATCGGGGACAGTTTTGCTGAGAGTATGCCGGAGCTTTCATTTGAAAAAAGCAGGAAGACATAGACAAGAAAGAGAAAAACATTCCAGGCAGCGGCCATAGGTCTCTCTTATCTAAACCCCACGAATTTCTTCATCACAGGCCATGTACTTTTGATATGCCTACTTTTCTTGAGAACTCAAAGCAAACACGGGACAATAAAAACAAAGAATTTATAAATTTAATAAACCTTAAACACGACAGGTAGAAATCAAGGTTATGGTACTGCGATGGACAGTTTAATTCACCTGAAAGAAAAAAAAGCCCCTATTCCTCTGCTTGATCTAAGTCCACTCTAATGCCTAAGAAGCAAAAGGGAAACAAAGGTCGGAAAGACAAGGGAGAAAACGGGATGGAGTGAGACCTCCGGGGCCGGGGTTTGTGAGTATACAAAGAAGCAAATCCCGAGCGACCGCTACCACCTGAGCCGAATTCCTAGTAAATACAAAAACCTCCGGACCCCGGGAATTGAGTCGAAGGAAGGAGACATCAGCGTGGCAAGTAGACACGCCCGAAGCGACAAAGCAGATGCAGTCCTCGGACTGCGTGAGCAAACAAGCCAGTTCAAGGCACCCTTACAGTAACCGCCGGCTCCCCATCGAGCTCCTCCATATCGCCACAAACCGCGTCCTGGACTTCTTGAAGCTGCCACTGCTAGCTGCTCAGGCCTCCCGCTCTTACAACAACTACGAGAAAGGACCTCTGCCCTGGAGCCTCCTGTAGCGCCTGCAGGCCCAATCCCCTCAACTCTGCAGAGGCCTTTCAGCCACGATCCATCCTTCTGCGGCTTTCCAAGTATGTCCCTCCTTCCTGGCCTAGAGAGTATGACAAGGAAAACAGCACCGGGGCAGGCTCCCCTCACAGGACTTTCTCACCAGATCAGGCGGCGCCGCAGACAGCCCCGCGCCAGGCACTGAAAAGGCCCCCGGAGACAGCGGGAGCGGCAGGAGGCCCGCGTGGGCCGGAGGTGGCGCTGTTGCGCGTGCGTGGGCGGGGGCGGGGGCGGCTGCTCTACTCCAGGACCCCGGGGCGGACTTCTGACGCTGGTTGCGCTCGCTTCTTCGTGGCACATGCTTTAGTGTCTTTGTAGCCGCTTCTCGGAGGCGAGACGGTACAATGAACAGACTTATGTTCGAATGCAGTCACCTCCACACACGAGCACACGGAGAAAGTTAATGCAGCTGAAACAACTGTGAAATCCGGACAGCTGGGCTTGCCTAACTACACACAGATACTGGTTTTGTGATCTCTTTAAGGAAAAGGAGAGCAAAGTGCTCAAATCAGGAAATCCCTGGCCTTCTTTGGAAAAGTCAAGTGTTCGAATAACTGCAGGGCATTACATTGTTTTTGTATTTGTTTTGGGTAGCATATACAACAAGAATAGTACTGGTTCTGAATTTCCAATTAAGGAACTTTGAACGAACTTAATTCAAAATTTAAAAGTAAGTCCTTGGAGCCTGGGAATGTAGCTTAGTGGTAGAATGCTTACCTGGTATGTATGAGGCCCTGGGTTCAAGCCCCAGTAACAAAAAAAGAAGGGAGAAAGTGAATGCATTCTCCATGGAAGGAGAGGCAGGAGGAAAGGAGCTGGGGGGGG